TATTTGGTTAAGAATCTTTTTTTCCTAGATTTTCCTGCTTTAAAATATATGCCAGGGCGTCTTATATGGCGAAAAATACGGTAGTTAACCCCAACTAATCCCTTCCCTAAACAAGTCATCTTTGAATAATCATAATGACCTTTCTCAGTGGTGGCTTTTGGCTTCCACAAGTGCTGTGGGTTTTAGCCTGAACTTTAAAGGAGTTATCCAAGATGCTGAACATGTTTGGGCCCTAGAGTTCAGCATCTTGGATAGGTCCCTGAAAGCTCAAACTGATATTTTTCTGTTTGTTTTTCAGGTTGCTTAAATGGGCAGCCTGAAAAACTTCAGCTCACTAGCTGGAATGGCAACTAATGTCATAGCCACTGGCAGAAGTGTGTGAAACCATTGGTTCCAAGACTAAATGGTTCCTAAAGAAGATTTGCAGAACCAGTTTGACAAGAAAGAGATGGTTGGATGCTTATAACTTTTATCCCAGATAGTAAGAAGAATATAAAAAGCCAGGGTGGCATAGTGGTTTTAGAGCTGGACTATAGCCCTGGAGACCAGGGTTTGATTCTCTGCTCAGCCATGAAAACCCACTGGGTGACCTTGGGCAAGTCACACTCTCTTAGCCTCAGAGGAAAGCAAAGGCAAACCTCTCTGAACAAATCTTGCAAAAAAAATTCACAGGGTAACCATAAATTGGAAATGTGAAAGCACAAAACAAAGAAGTAAGAACTAGAAAGGAAAAGGCTGGGAATTTAAACATGGCTTGAAGATTTCATAAACAAAAACCTAAATCCAGTTTCAAGCTAGAGTTGACCCAGTGAATCAATGGGAACCTGGTAAGTCAGCACTTCTATAAATAGTATTGATTTAATGGGTCTAGCTCTAGTTGAGGCCATGATTAGATTTAAGCAAGAATGATGGTCCACTTTCCCATTGCTGCTTTTGTTCTTAATGTCATTTATTCCTCATCTTTCTCCAAGGAGCCCAAGGCCCCATAAATGGTTGTCCTCCCATTCCCATTTAATACTCACAACAAACCTGTAAGGGAGAAAAAGAGCAATTAGCTCAGGAGTATTCAGAGAACATGGTCACTAAGGCTGCAGCAAAAATGCAGTTTGACACTGCTTTAATTGTCATAGCTCCATCCTATGGAATCCTGGGCTTTGAATTTGTTGTAGCACCAGAGCATTCTGACAGAGATGGCTAAATGTCTCACAAAATTACAAATGCCACAATCACATTGCACTGAGCCATGGTAGTTAAAGCGGTGTCAAACTGTATCATTTCTACAAATAAAATGTAGCCTGAGTTGACATTTGAACCTGCATCTCTCCAGCTCTAGTCTGCCACTCTGTCCATTACACCAAATTGGCGCTGGTTTAGTCCCATTAATGGATTAGTCCCATTAATTAACTAATCTCAGAAAGGCGTGCTAAGGAGTACCTTTGCTCAGCTTCTTATAATTCACCAGCTATACCCCTTACCCAAGTTAACTGTCAGATAGCAAGCTAGTAATTATCATCAGTGCCAAATTTTCAGCTACTAGTCTAATTGACTTTTGTTCATGGAATGGGAGGGAGGTGGGATTGTTCTTTTTACCTCAGAAAAAAATGTATTATGTCAGTCCTGCCTTTCATTCTTATTTTCTGCATTTTTGTTCCCTTTCCAGGCTTGAAGTAGGCTCAGACCGAGAAGAGTGAGATACCAGATATGCCTTTGGAAAAATACCAAGTTTACAAAGGTGGGTTTGTTACAACACCCTGCATACCCTGTATTATTTTAGGGTACAAATATTTTGTTATATTTTATTTTAATAGCGGTTACAGAGAGGCCATAAGCATGAACTTGGACAGATGAGATGCCCTTTAAGTAAACCTCTGACTGGTCACAGACCTGAGGGCATGTGGAAAAGGACTCATGTAACTTAATGGGTGTAAGTACTGTTGCACACACCCCTGCTCTGTGCATTTCCTAGTGAAGCTTAAGCCAATTTTTCTGTTAGAACCCTCTGTACTATCCTACACCTGATTCCTATCCCAGATACCCTGAGGATATTTAATCAATACCACTGTGGCAATCAAAAATATTCCTTTTCTAACTCTAAAGTTTAAACCATTAACCAGGTGGGAATCCCATCATTTCTAAGATTCCTAGGAAATCCACCCAACTGCCTCAAGACTCAATAAAAAGCTTCTCTTGGCACTCACACATTGGCTCAGTCTGAAATCAGGCAAAAATGCTGCCAAATTTCATACTGACCCCCTAACACAGGCTGGCTGCCTCCCTCCCTGCCCCCCAAAAAACATTTCAAGCAGTCTTGTTGAGCCACTGTAACTTCCATCATCCCCTGATTGAAGCTCTGCTTCTGGACTGGTAAGGTATTGTCTTCCTCCAACCTTGTTATAAGCTACTACCTTTAATTTTGTTAATTCATGTGTGAGTGAGTGTGAATGTTGTTGGGTGAGTGGTGATTTTTTTCCCCTTTGCTGTCAAAAAATAAAACTAAATTGTATTTTGCACTCTGACAGTTCTAGTTCTTGGACCTGTTAAACATAGGCAAGATCCTGACTCTTTGAAGTTACCTCAAGTCCTCTCGCTGCTATTAATTTGAGCTATTAAAATTTCCCTATTATATGTTAATTTATGGGAGCCATCTCGGTAACCTAGTAATTTGGATCTCCCTGGAAAAGCAAACATAGCTCAGTCATGAGTCACCTGTTTTACATGCCAAAGATCCCAAGAAAAAATTAAATACATACAGCTCACCCTATCTGTTTCTGTTGACATTGTGAATGGAAAATGACATCTCATCTCATTTGGATTCAATCTGAACCAGTTTGAATCAGACCAGTTTGGTTCAGAATCTGGGATTTGTCTGAAGCCGTTGCACAGTCCTAATTTACATCCTACATGCCTTGAAGGTGCTTTGGATGGCATGGCTGTTATGCTCACAGGAACATTATGAGGGTTAGGTTAGACTGGCTCAAGACAAAACTATCAGCTTCATAGCTGAGTTAGCCTTAAACCCAGTACTTTTCAAGGTCTCATGTTATCTGCAGTGGTTAAATGCCTGTCCTGCAGCCACTCACTCATAGACCACAAGGTTGCGAGTTCAATACCAGCCAGGGCTGAGGCTCAACTCAGGCCTGCATCCTTCCGAGGTCGCTAAAATGAGTACCCAACTTGTTGGGGGGCAATCAGCTCACAGTTGTAAACCGCTTAGACATCCCATAGCATGATATGAAGCGGTATATAAATGAAGCTGCTTTGCTTTTGTTTTTGCATGGCTCTGCCCCCCCCCCACTCCATTTTTCCAAGCCTGTTTGAAAGGCATGTCCATTGAGCAAGCAACCCTGGCTCTAATTCCAAATGTTTCAGGCACGGACTGGTTATTCAAGCAATGATAGACATACCTTTGCCCAAGGTTGAGGCCACTCTTCTCATTATTGCCTCATGTTCTAGCAGAGAGATTGGGTACTGAACATGAAAAGCATTTCCCCAGCTGCTCCCAGTCATGGGGGAAAAAAACCTGAAACATTTTTCTCAATACTTGTAAAGTATGACCTGATTTTGAGGATCCCATTGCATAACAAGAGGACTTTTTGTTTTTATTTTGAACTGATTTAGATGAGTTGGAGTATGACAACACCTTGGGAAGAGGGTCTGCTGCGTGAATTAGATAATGATAAAGTTGAAGAAGGAGATTTTTACATGGAAATGGAGAAGGTCAACAATGAACTTGAGAGGTAACCAAGACCTGTATCTGTTGAAAGAGAATCCACTTTACCTTCTTCAGTGTGTTACATATTAGCCATAATTACTCAAGCATTTGGGAAACTTAACAACACAAGGAGAAGATTCCATGGCTACTGTCAGCCATGAAGTGACAAGCAGTGCTATGATTATTCATTCACCAGCATACAATCAAAGCAATCAAGATTTACAACAAAGCAGCAACCTCAGAAAGATCCCTCAGTCCAGATGGCCTGATGCTGCCAGAGGTTTGAAGAGCTTAGGGTTGTCAGTGTGAAAAGCAGAGAGGGCTTCTGTACCTTAAAGTGGTGTGTAGAAAAGGGAGTTTCAGCAAGTGTTGCTTTTAGCCTGATTGCATGACAAATGACACTTCCTTAAATTCCTTTTCTGCATAACCATGAAAGGTACAGGAGCCATCTCCAGTTTTGTGGCAATCCTAAATTACTTTGGGGGCTTTTAACTCCCAAACTCCAAAGCCCTACACTCAGAATCTATAGTTTTCTGGTATTACTGTACACATGAAATTTCTCTGTGTAGCTCAAACATTTTGCCTTTGTTTTGCAAACCTGGCCTACTTCATTCATTCATTTAATCCCTCCCTCCCTCAATTTCCTTTTGTTCCAGAGACATCCATAGGGAAAGGAACAAAATCTCTCCAGTTGGGCTATGGAGGAAGCTGCCCTCAGTAGTCCCCAGTGCCTAGTAAGCTTCTTTCAGATTTAGGCTTTTACCTTTTGCTACTTCCTTCCCATCAGTATCTTGAACCACTTCCTGTACTCTTGCCACCCCACGCTTTAGAGAGGATTACAGGATTATTTTCAGCCCAATTATTTTCTTACAAAGTATTTACACAAATATAAGCAGAGCAATAAGGAGAAAGAGGATCAGGCAGAAAGTGCTACTGCTCATTAAAGGATGCTTAAAAATAATCCTTATCTTGATTTCACATCAATCATTTCAAGAACAGGAAGACTAGAAATATGAAAACATCTATTTGGGTGAGTGTCTGTAGTATTTATTGGGGTTTTCCATTAATGTCACCTATGTGGCTTTGGTATTCTTCAAAACAGTTTGTGGTGGAGATGGTTTGCTGACCATCAGGGCTCTGCCAGCATTCAGTTCCTGCAAGTGTCTCAGAACAGCCTCTGCTTGCTCTTGGAAGTGCTCTGGGACACTCAAACATAGCTACCGTATGTATTTTGATAAATGTTGTCTGCCTTTACAGTCTCTTCAATGGAACAGAAATGGCTGGAGAAGCAAGGAGTGGGGACTGAGGTTTGCCATTTTTGTAGCAAGGAATAGTTGAACTGTAGAGAACTCAGCTGAATGATGACAGCAACAATAACAACTGGCTTAAGCATTCTGTGCAGAAAAATATACTGTTTATAGATGTACTACTACCAAAGGCCATATGAATGGAAAATATTTTTTAAAAGTAGATATAGCCAATAGATATAATCTCATTACATTCACCATTACTCCTATTGCCATAATAGGAAAAGTGCCTTTTGTTAGGATCTCATGAACATGCATTCCCCATTTTAGTGAACCAAAATGAGTTAATAGCAGTAGTTCTCCACTTACTGGGTGATGTTGAGCCAGTTATTCAACCTAATCCGTTGTTTTGAGAATAACAAGGAAGAGGAAAAGCATGTACGGTATATTTTCTTGGAGAAAGAAAAAGATTTTCCTTTTAAGGGTAATAATGGTAATTTATAGGAATTTATCACACTGGGAAAATTGGAGGAAATTGGGTGTTTAAACAGCAATTGTCCAGTGCAGAATGTGGTATCACAATTAACATTTTCACATACATCACTATTAAAT